ACCATTTCTCTAGGCCTTTATCTTGGTCAGGAGCGGAGCGCTGGGGCCACTTCATGATCGCGGATTTTTTTTCTTGCTATGCTCTGGGTCGCCGGGGTCAGGCAGTATGAGTGTGCCACGGCGCCAAACCCGTTCTCTGCCAGTTGTTGAAGCGGGTATGCGACAACAGTTGGTAGAAAACGAGTGATACGAACGATATGATACAATCTTGTCACTTGCTCACTGGGTTTGGCAGCGCGCCGTGACACGCCCCTTCGTCTGCAGAGAACTAGACTATACCTCGCCCATTCTGTGTACCTGAGTAGGGAGTCAATGCGATGAACGACCTAACACAAAAGCTAAGAGCTAAACAGTAGGAAGCAAGCGGCTCGAGTAGCACTCAAAAACATCGAGGGAGTATCGAAGAAGACTGTTGGAGAGTGTTCAGTGGAACTCTTGAAGATTTTTACTAACCATAAGTTGTAAGTTGTTGGAAAACGGTAAGGATGCCTCGGTGAAGATTAAGGTGAGATGACCACTGCCGCAATTTGTCACATTTATTTACTATCAAAGAGGTCAACGAAGCGTACCTGTAATCGCTGTGGGGGTTCGGAGCATTTCTCGTCCGGCCAATTAGGCATCGTCACCATCGAGTCCTTCTTCAAGCGCGTTGCAATCCGCTTCATTGTGTGCACCGCTCAACAACCGACAGCCGTTACATTGAGGGAAGCACTTCTGCTCAACCGATGCTCAACTGTGATCAAAACATAAAATGATGATACCGAAGCTACTTGAAAAACATCTCGTGCAATGAAGCTTAGCACAGTGGTATCAGATGAAGGTGTACGAAAAAACGCAAAACACGGCTATAGTGTAGTTCGCTGCGGACGCGTGTCGGGCGAGATAATTTGGCGCGGTGCCAAACTCGTTCTCTGCCAGTTTTAAAGCGAGCAAATGATATGACTGTATCATATCGTTCGTATTACTCGTTTTCTACCACTTTTTGTCGCATGCGCGCTTCAACAAGAAGGCAGAGAACGGCTTTGACGGGTGACACACTCATACTGCCTGACACGCCCAACCGTCCGCAGCGAACTAGAGTGTATGTGCATTCTTCTCCCCATTCTTACTATGACGAAAAGTCCTGCGACACTTTGATTGAATTGTTCTAGAAAAAGACAAAAATCATTTCGGATGTTTTTATCCCTGATTAGTGGAGACTGTCCTCTGGGGTTTCTGCACATGGGTATATCATGACTTTGTGGAAGTTTTCAAAGCTTAAAAGTCCCTCAGAGATCGAGGTACTTTTCGACCTATCCCATATTATGAGTTCCTGTAGGGCCACTCCGCCGTAGTCGAGGAAGCTAACACCTACGTTGTCTTGAGGAAGGATATCGCTTGCCATGGCAGAGGGTAGCTTTTGCATCAGCGCTTCCAAGCTGGACTTATTTAATTCGGAGGTAGGCAATGTATAGGTCGGCCACCAGCACAGAATGACGGCCGTTTACTCAAGCTTCTTGAGGCGCAGCCGAACGTAACCACCAGTAAGTTGGCAACCTCTCTAGGCTCCACCTAACTGACAAACT